GCACCCACCATGAGTGCGCACAGAGCAGACACTCAATAAATGCTGATTTTTCTTGTTCTCTCCATTCGGTGGAGGCATGGGGAGGGGCACTTCAGACATGAATCTAAGGGGGCACCCCAGACTATGATGGAGGGGTGAGCAGGACCTTACCTCGGGGGATGTGGATGGTGATGTTGGACAGTGTGGGAATTCCGTCGGGGGTCCATGTGAAGAAGCCTCCAATGATCTTCATTGGCAACACCCCACCGCCCGCGAGAGAATAGAAAGACAGCTGGATTTTCAGTGTTAAAGTCTCTTGCCTCCCCTCCTCCCTGAAAGCCAAAAAAGCCCCACTGATTCCAGTCCCTGGGTCACTTCCAGGACAGGGAAGTAGAGGAATGGTCTTCTCATGCCCACCCTGCCCGAGGCACCCTCCCTGAGAGGGTAGCCATGCCCCCCCCCTCCCCACACACTTGGTCAAGATAGAAGATTTGTCCCTATGAACCCTACAGGCAGGTACGGTGACCTTGGGGCAGAGGACTCAGCACATAGGTCTCTGGCCCTTCAGATGCTGAGCTCCTTCTTGGTGATGGTGCTGGGGGACCAGGCATGGGTGCAAGGTCTCGGACTCACCTGGACACAGCAATTGTCAGCATTCCCGTCTGCACTGGGGGCCAGCCTCTGCAGTGGGCCTGTGAGGCCCCGGCCGTCCTCCCGGGCAGGACGCTTTCGGTTCACGACCTTGAGGGGCTGGGGATGGTGAGGAAGAGGTGAAGGCCCCAGGGGCTGGGAGCTGTGCAGGGGAGCTGCCTTCCTGTGAGGAAAGGCTGAGGCAGGATGCAGGCAGGGCTGAGTGGCAAGGGGAGGCCAGGCACTCACCACGGCCTGGTACTTGCTGGCCTGGCCCTGGGGCGCAGGCTCCCGGGGAGCACACTGCTCCTCTCGGATCTCTGCACTGGACAGGAACTCACTCAGTTTTTGCACGCTACAGAGGAAGCACAGAGACACCCCTCACCCCTGCCAGGGGCAGAGGGAAGGGGAGAAGGGAGAGGGTGCGGCTTGAGAGAGCAGCTCTGAGAAAGTTCTGGATCCTGAGGTGCAGCCCCTACAAAGCTCCCACTAGAGGGGGGTAAAGTAGAGGCATCCGTGGTGGGAGCAATAGGTGTTACCAGAATTTGTTAGGGTTGAACAGTCCTCTGGAGTAGGTTAGGATCTGGATTAGGGCGGATTAGGTTTAGGAATAGTTCAATGTTAAGGTTGGTTAGACTAAAAGATGGTTGGTGTTAGACTATACGAGTTACTGTTAGAATTAAGGTTGGTCAGTGTTAAGGTTAATTAGCATTAGAATTGGTTATTAATAGTAGCTAATATTTATTGAGTACATGCTATATGCCAGACGCTATATGTCTTATAAGCATACAGTCTAATCCTGCCAGGGGAGGTGTATGATTCTCAACTCATAAATGAGAAGCCTTCCCCCCACCCCCAGGAATTTTCCTGTGGATCCAGAGGAGGCTCCAAAAGTTTTGGTTCATTTTCTCTCATCCCTGGGGGTGTGGAACCTGCCTTGGGCAGCTTGAGAATGGTCTGTATGCCTCTTTCCTCCCATTTGCTAAGTGTCCCATAGGCCCGGGGCCAGACAAGCCCTCCAACCCTCAAGGCCAGAATAGTCTGAGGCTCTAAATGCACGGTGGCCCCTGGTTTCTGCTCTGGGCACGAACCCCTCCCCTGACCAGGAGTAGACTGGCAGCTTCTGCCTGCCTCCTCCCCTCCCTCCGTGTCTCCTGGATCCAGCACTCTCTCAACAGTGAGTGTCTGCATACGGAAATGCTCCTGAGAATCAGCACCAGATTTCCAACAGGTGCAGCGTTCTTGAACCTGTGGTTTGTACACAGGATCACAGGGCTGGGGTGGTCCTGGGAGGGCGTGGTCATTAGAAGTCACAATGCATGGTCAATAGAACTGAGTCCGCACAGCCAGCCCTGGAAATGAGAGCTGATCTTTTCCAGCCTTTAGTCGCTGGTTAGATATTCCTTGGACCACAGTTCTTCTGAGTTATATATAACCCTTTCATCCTAGAACGCCTGCCAGAGCTTCCTCCTGTAAGTTGCTCCATCCATCAGCTACTTCAACCCCATAGCTACTTCTTCCTGCTAGCTGCCTCGGACCTGCCAGGGTCCCATGAGACAAGGGTGTCATTTTCCTCAAGGCTATCGGGTACAGAAGATATCTGTCGCTGTCTGGTCCCATTGACGATGAGGAAGGACATAGCCAGCTTTCCCCAGAGACATGAGATATTAATAGCCACTGTTTTCAAGGAGCTATTTCAGAGGCCCAAGGAGATCCTCACGGTCAAAGCCTCAGCCCTCTACCTTCAGGCTTTCATTCCCAAGAGAGCAATGCCTCTGGGAGAGTGGCAGCCACCACTGGGCTCAAAAGCCTGGCAGTGGGGCCTCCCAGAGCGCAGGCCAGTCGGGGACAGGACCCGGAGGCAGTGTGGGAAGTTGCTTCACTGACCAGGGCTGCGAAGGCTCTGGGACCCGTGGGAAAGACGGGATGCTCAGCCTGAGGAAAACAAAGATTCTGTGGATACCTTCTGAAACCCGGGGGCTGTCCTGTGGGGAATGATGGCGCTCATTCTGGGTGGCTCTGGAGGGTGGACCTAGGACCTATGGGTAGTATTTATGAAGATGTACCAATTTTGGCTCAATGTTGAATTATTTTTTTACAGAGTTATCTTGGAGTTGACATTGACATTGGAGCTCTGCAAGCAAGTTGGCTAGTCCTTTCTCAGGGATGGCTTGGAGGGGAGCCACCCCTCTGCCCACCACAACCAGCTCAGAGAGGCCCAGATCAATGGGGAGGCATGTCCTGGGACCAAATAGGTTTGTCTGTAACTGTCAGTCACTGGAGCCAGTGCTGGGGCTGCCACATGAGCTGCCTGTCCAGTGCCCTTGCTGGACCCTCCTCTCACCTGACTAGAGCTTTGACTGTAGACCGGACCACACTGGACAGCAGGAACAGCGGTGTGACCAGGATGTGGAAGAGGGAGAGGGAGGCGAAGGCCACCGAGGGCGAGAAGTCGGCCTCTTTGAAGAAGCTGGCGTGGCCCACGAAGGTCTGTGGACAGAGGCACAGAGTGTGGGCCCCTCCCACACCAGAAGGAAACAAGAGGCCTGGAACAGGGGACTCGAGGGGACCTTCCAGTTAGGGACACCTCCACCATCCTCACAGCCATCTCCTGGCAACGTCCCCAGCAAACTCAGGACTCCAAGCTGGACGGCTGGGATGCCCCTCCCTATCCTGCCCCCTCCTTGCCAGGGGTGGCCGGGGGGAAGCCCTCAGGTTGGGTCAGCTCTGCCCCCTCTCAGACAACAGTCCTCAGCCAGGAAAACTATAACCACCCAGTCACAGTGCTTGCCCCCTGGCTACCTGGCTGGCTCACTGTTACCCAGAATTCCCTGAAGAGCCAGGCCGGAACCAACCCAATAAATCATGTCGAAAGAGAATTCCCAAGCATGCCTGATAGGCTGTGACCACGTCACAGCTCAGGGACACTGGCCCCAGGGGAAATAAATGCATCTTTTAAAAGAACCGTAGCTATCACAGAAGCCAGGGATGGGAGTCCTGGGTGAAGGGACTGTGGGATCATGGGACCCAGGCCTTTTTGGAGAGGGGCGGGGGTGGTATGTGGGCACGATGCCGCCCCAATTGCTGAGCTCATACACGGCTTTGGTCAAAATCGCTTTAGAAAACCTCCACTGTAATGTCTAATGATGTGCAGGATTGTTCGTGCCGTGTCCTTACAGTTCAAAGGGCACGTTACAAAACTGCATGTGCGGCCCAGTCCTATTTTCATAAAAAGGTCATATTACGTGCCTTTAGAAAGGCCTGGAAAGGAACACATTAAAGATGCTGCCAGCGGGATTATGGGTGATTTAAATTCTCTCTGCCCTTTCCGTTCTGGGTTTCCCAACATTTCTACCATAAACATGCTTGGCAGCTATTTTTAAAAGAAGTTTAATTTCTTGAAGACTAAGCCTCAGGTCCTTCCGGGCCGGAAGCCCGAGGCCCTTGCCTTCCTGGAGTGGGGGAGGCGCCCCCTCCGCATAGAGACCTGCAGACCACTGCCCTGTTTGCGGCCCCCCTGCTGAGTCACCTTCCGAGAAGTCCCGGCCGAAGGGACATCCTGCCCCCACAGCCCACCCGGAGGCGGAGGAAGCAGCCACTTACGATGAGGACAGCTGCGATGGGGATGGCCGTGTTCATGAAAACTGTGGAGGAAGCACAAGTTCAGTGGGAGGGATGAGACAGCTGAAATGAAGGCCCCCTCCCCGGGGGGTGGAGGCAGTGCAGCCCGTGGGTCCCTTCCCCAGCCATGGGGTGAGCTGGGGCAGGGTAGGGGCAGAAGTCTAGCCCTGTGGCCCCTCCAGCTCCTTACCTGTTTCTCTCAGGACTCTTGTCCCCTGTTTCTGAGACGTAAGCCTTTACATAGAGGCTTCCATGCTCCTATTCTGCTCCACAGTGTGAAGAAAGCCCCGTGAAAAAGTGGTGGAGGTGGGATTGGAGAGGCGGTGGCCTGTGGTCAACTGGGAGGCCAGCAGCATGGGCTTCTGGAGCCAGCAAGTTGCTTCTCCTTCCTTTGCCTTTGGTCCCTGGATCCCCCCAAACGGGTTCCCTCGGAGGCTTAGAGGCTTCCTAACCTCCCATGGCTCTTGGGAAAGATTTCAAACTCATTCACACTGAGGTATCAGCAAAGAAGGACAGCTTAACGCGGGGTCTCCCTTAGCTCTAAGACTGAGAGTCCATGCCAGGCGGGGCAGTTGGTTTGTTTAAAGTGTGGCCCTCGGATCCTCCATAGGGACCCCAGAGAGCAACGAGAGCCGGACGTAAAGTCAGAGAATGGAGGAGTCCCTGCTACGTATGAGCTGGGTGACCTTGGGCAGGTCATTTCCCTACTCTGTGCCTCAGTTTCTTCACATGATCTTCATGAACTTGTGCTTACTTGTGCACATGCTCTGGCTTTCCCCCAAGGTGAGAGGGGATGATGTGGGGAACAGGCTCTGTGAGCCCCAGGTGCTGACTATCACACCTCGCCCGCTGCCAGCTTAGCCCTGCTCCCCAGGTCCCTGCTCCTCTGGCCCAACGTGGAAGATGCCTGAGGTCTGGGCATGGGGTCCTGAACTTGCAGAGAGAGCAGCCCTCCTACTACCACCTTCTTATCTCATCTTTCATTTTCCCCGTAGCCTCTTCCCGGCCAGCCCAGAAAGGAATCTGGTCTGTAATTAGCCAAATGAAAGCAAAGGAGCCAGGAGCCAGGCGCCAAAGGCCACGGGCTCAGCCTGTGCATGTGGCCCTGTCTAATGAACAGTGAAGTCTCTGACATGCTGAAGAAATCCGGAGGGCTAACAGCAATCCGAGAAGCTGAGTGTCTGTCTACTTACTTCAAGAATCCTGCATCCGCCAGTACATACACAGTGTATAGCAGCGGTTCTCAATCTGTGGGTTACGACCCGTTTGGAGGTCAAACGACCCTTTCACAGGGGTCGCCTAAGACCATCTTGCATATCAGATATTTACATTATGACTCATGACAGTAGCAAAATTACAATTATGAAGTAGAAATGAAAATAATTTTAGGGTTGGGTCACAACATGAGGAACTGTATTTAAAGGGCCAGAAGGTTGAGAACCACTGGTGTATAGGGAGGTCTGGACCCGAGTGGGAGGAAAACATAGCCCTGCCTTCAGGGGGCTCCTAGTTTGAGGAAGGAGACAAAACTATGCCCATAGGAAGGCCCTGATATGCTGGGGAGAAGGAAACATGGCCCTAGGGCAGCTGTGGGCAAACTACGGCCCGCAGCCGGATCCAGCCCGTTTGAAATGAATAAAACTAAAAAGAAAAGGACCGTACCCTTTGATGTAATGATGTTTACTTTGAATTTATATTAGTTCACACAAACACTCCATCCATGCTTTTGTTCCGGCCCTCCGGTCCAGTTTAAGAACCCATTGTGGCCCTCGAGTCAAAAAGTTTGCCCACCCCTGCCCTAGGGAGTTCCCAAGCAGATAGGGAAGACATTGTGCCCACCTGGGGGTGGGGGTGGGGGTGGGGGGCTTCTAATCTGATGAGGGAGACACAGCCCCTGCAGAGCTCCCATCTCATGGAGGAGATATGGCTGGGCTCCTGGGGCTCTGCCAATCGGTCTGACCACAAGCTTTTCATCAACACCAGTATCACACATGACCCTGCTTTAACTGCCCTTCCTGAAGAGGGCTCCACGCTGCCAGGTGCCCACAGCAGTGCCACAGCCCTCCCTCAGAGTCTCTGGCAGGGGCAGCATAAGCATTATTGGTTTTCCTATGGAAGAAGGGACCCAGGTCTGGGACTAGGACATAGCACAGCCATCACTGGCTGGGGAGAGGGACGAGGAGAAGAACTCCCATGAGGCCTGGGCCCTTGACCATCACCAACTGTATAGCTCTAAACACAAGGCAGCCTTGTCCCTCCCCTCCAGGGCCAGTTACTCCAGGAAGCTCTCTCAGGACAGGGGCCTCCTCCTGTTCCTCTCCTGCCTATCCCAGCAACTACCAAAGAGGGGGGTTCAAGCTACAAGGCACCTGTGCACCACCCCTCGGCCCTTGCCTCAGGCTGAGACCCCTCCCAGCTAAAGAACAGGTTCAGAGTTAGATTGTAAATTGTTGCAACTCTGCTTGGAAAGCAATCTGGTGCTTTGTAGTGAGAGCCACAGAGTTTAGACCTTCTGATCCTATAATCCCCCTCCTGGGAATTTATCTTGAATACGTAATCGTTTGAGAGAAGCAAAAAGCCCTCAGCAAGCTGGTGCTAGCTATTGCACTGTAACAGGCAAAGGAAACCACAGCCACAGCAAACAAACCACCGGAAATGAGATCAACTGGCAACATCCAACACCAGGGGCTGTTTTAGTAAATGTGGTTCATCAACGCTCAGGGTGATAATGCAATCACAGAACATGTCATAATTAACACTTTGTTCGGTAGCATGTTCTTCCTGGTTGTGATTTTCCTTCATTTATATTTTTTCTATTTTGTTGTCTTTATTCTTCTTGTAGCTGCTTGAGCTCTTTTGAGGAATGAGACATGCTATAAATAAATTTAAAAGTGAGTATTCCAAAGCGGATTCTCTCAAAAGGGAATCCATCTATAATAATAAAAGTGTAATATGCTAATTAGGCCAGACGACCTTCCGGATGAAGCCGGGGCTGCGAGGGAAGCCTGGGTCCCGGGTGCCAGAGGGAAGCCTGGGTCCCGGGTGCCAGAGGGAAGCCAGGGGGAAGGAAGGCCTCCTCTTGCACGAATTTCATGCATCGGGCCTCTAGTATGGTATAATTAATGTTCTACCCCATTCTGGCTGTTGTATGGAGACACTAAAGAATGAAAATATAATTTTTCATTTTCCTCACCCTCTTTTGCAAGGATGGCCTTTGTGCAGGAACTCTGAGTCCCCTTTGGGGCCGGGACTGGGGGATGGAATTACTTGCTGCTTGTATTTTAAAGGCCTCTCTGAAGAGCACCCCGCTGGGTCCTGAAATGGACAAGGCTGGAACTAGGGATGTCAGTCAGGCCTGGGAGGCTCTGTGGTGGGTGGGGAGGACGGGGAGCTGGCATCCCAGCTGTCGTGGGTTGAACACTGTGGCCTTGCCTCTTTACGGGGATGGTGATGGAGAGGTAAAAAAAAAAATATGACCAATAGATTTCTCTCCAACTTTGGCATGGGGTAGGAAAGAAAAAGGAAATCAAGATACTGCTTAGATCTTGCATATTAGGGAGCAAGGGATCCTGTTGAATAACACAAAGTGAGAGCAGAAGATTACAAAATGCTGTGCAAGTGTGATCCTGTGGTAGACAAGTTTAGCCGCACGTAGGCAGGCTTCAAAGGCCTCCTTCGAAAGCGAAAGCCTCTCTGTTGTGGTGTAGAGACGTGAGTAGGTGTTGTAGTCATCTTCCCCCAAAATATCCTCTAAGAAGAACTTATTAAAAAATTCTTTTTTGAGGGTCTTCTCTGTTCCAGGCATGATGCTGGGCTCGGAGGGGGGTACAGCAGTGAACAATATGCTGGCTTTTCCTACCCTTCCCAGATGAAATAAACCCACAAATCAACCGAAACCAACGCGGGGCGCAGGTCATCCCTGGCTTCACCTAAGGAATGCGGCCTGGCTCTGTGGGTGCCAGGGGCACCACAAAACCAGCAGCTTTTCATTTCCAAAGATAAATATTTCAGAAGCCACGTGGCAGGGAGCCGCAGCCAGCCACTTGTGCCTCTGGCTAACTGCAGCTTTGTCCCGGGGCTGGGGGTGAGGGCTGGCCAGGGGGAGCGGCAGGCTCACAGCCTGGCCTAACTGCAGGCGGCACCTGCAGGAGGGGGCAGTGTAGTTGGACGTGCACAGGGCTGTTTTACATTCTGTCTCATAGTCACTCAACGTCAGCGGAGGAGGAGAAAAGCAGGTCCCAGGGGAAGCACAGCAGGAGGCCCCACACATCACACTGATTCCTGCCTCCTTCACTGATGAGTCTTCCAGCTCCCCCGCAGCCACCCCCAGGCCCAAGAAGGTCAGGATATGCATCGGCAACCCACACCCACCGTGGCTGCACCAGCCGGTGGCAGGAAGAGCAGATATCGAAGAAGAATTTCAGAGGAGCTGGAGAAGGAAGAGGGACCAGGTCAGGAGGCCCTGGCTGGTCTGAGTCAGGGCCTTCCACCAAGGAGGACAGAAGGAGCTCCAGTCTTGGGCTATGGACCGGGGGCAGGTGCTGGGTGCCCTGTGAATGGGCTTCACCAGCATCCTCCTGCCCGTCCCACCCCCATGCATGGCATGGTTGGGTTTGGGGGTTTGCTTTTTGCTTTTCAGGACATGGTATGAGGCCCATCACATTCATCCAAGGAGGGCCCACCTGACTGTGGTTCAGACTGGACTGGGAGGACAGAAGGTCGTGACCCCAGAGCACTAGGAGAGATGGCAAACCCACCTTTCCTGCAGTTCAACTCCTTCCATGGCGCCCTGGCCTCAGGAGAAGACCCAGAGGCCTGCACACAGGGCACAAGGTCCTGTATGATCTGGCCTTGCTCCCCTCTGCTCACCGGATTATGTTTGAGTCTCGGACACACTGTCCTTCTCACCTGTAGCCCTTTGTACCTGGAACATTCTTCCCCTTACCTGGTTAATTCCTATGAGTCCTTCTTTGAGCGTCGACAATGAACTTCACTCTATGACTAGGTCAGGTGCAATTCTCACTGCTCCTATAGAAAACCCCTTTCTACTCATCACTCACCACACAGTCCCATGACCAGCTGCCCTACTAGACTGTGAGCAACCTGCAGGCGGGGACCGATATTTCTTCTCAACCCCGCACCCCCCAGCAGGTGCCCAGTGAAGATTTGTTAAATAAGTGAATAAAAGCAACAAAAGA